GCGGGAACCGGTCTGTATGTGGGATCTGAACCCTCGGCGGGAGCGCCACCGCGCTTCCCAAGCGGCACACTATAGCAGTGCGCCACCGGGCCGGCCACAATCTAGTCTTCACATTAAAGTCAAGAGCAATCAGTTATTCTATCAGGTCATGTGACTTCCTAGCATAAAGCGGTCTGGTGCTTGCCATTACCCTTAAAATAAAATCCACATTTATTTCTATGGCCTGCAAGGCGTCACATGCTCCAGCACCTGCTTACCTCAGCACCTCTTTCCTTACTACTCTCTGCCAACTCCCTCCAGCCACACTGCATTCTTTTTGTTTTGTTTTTTTTTTAAAAAAGATGACCGGTAAGGGGATCTCAACCCTTGGCTTGGTATTGTCAACACCACGCTCAGCCAGTGAGCAAACCGGCCATCCCTATATAGGATCCGATCCCGTGGCCTTGGTGTTATCAGCACTGCACTCTACCGAGTGAGCCATGGGCCGGCCTACACTGCATTCTTTTTGGACCTCAAACATGCCATCCCACCTTCACTGTTTTCCCAGTCTCTCTATCTGGAGGTCTATTTCCCCAGCTAGTATTAAGCATCAGGTCTCTGCTTAAAAGTCACCTCTACAATAAGACCTTCTCTGACCATCCTGCAAAAGTGGCTTCCAAGTCACTTCCTTAAGAATACTCACTACTGCATCTGAACTGTCTTTTTATGTGTTTCTACATGAGAAATCTGCTTTCCCTACTTGAACAGTAAGCTCTATGAAGGCATGGACCACATCTTATTAGCCTTGTATAATTAACCTGGAACCTAGAAAGTGCCTGGCACATAATATATGCTCAAAAAATGTGATGAACTAGTGAATATCCTTGGCTAGCAGGCCAAATGTGTCAACTTAAGACACAGTGACTTTATAATTCTGAGACCAAAAGTCGGTCTCTCCTCACATTTACCGTTATAGTACACACTCAAATGACAAGGTAATGATAAAATTTTCATCTCTAAAAGGAAGGAGGTTTTTGTCCTTCTAGGTTTTCCAAAAGAAACCGAATACTAAAATCACAAGCAACAAATTTTAGGGGATTCTAGGCCACAGAATTTGAGGAAACCATACAGAACAGTCACTGCCTACAAGGTGCTAGAATAATTCCTATGTACTAAACTGAAAATGCTCAAAACCCACAAATGCATAGAAACGAAAAGAAAAACAAAGTTGGTGCCTAACTCATAAATCTTTACTGCTATGAGAAAGGAGTTCTTCAATGATAACACTTTGATAGTGACAAATGATGATACACTTACATAGCTCTATGGTTCCCGTGGTCCTCACAGCAGCCATGAGAAATTGCTGGGCTGGTACTATTGACCATAATGAAGTCCAATTAGAAAGTTTAAATGATTCAGTCAGAGACAACAGGAGTGTGATAATTAACAGCAAGGATTTGTGAGCCAGATGCCTATGTTCAAATCCTTTGCCACTTACTGTAACTTGATGTAGGCCAGTTATTTCATCTCTCTGTGCCTCAGCATCTTCATCTACAAACACGACATACTTCCTAGAGTGTGAGAGGCTGAATTGCCCTCCCCCCCAAAACGATGTCCACATCCTAATCCTTGGAACCTATGATTATGCTGTTTTATGTGGCAAAAGGGACTTTGCAGATATGATTGAGTTAAGGGCCTTGAGATAGGGAGATTATGTTGGATTATCTGGGTGGACCCAATGTAATCACAAGGGTCCTTATAAAAGGGAGGCAGGCGGGCCACACACACAGAAGGTGATGTGACTATGGAAGCAGAGAGAGACAGAGATATTGGAAGATGCTACACAGCTGGCTTCATAGCTGAATGACAGGGCCAAGGAATGCAGGTGGCCTGTTGAAGCTAGAAAACATAAAGAAATAGATTCTCCTCTAGAGCCTCCAAAAGGAAGACAGCCCTGTCAACCCACTTTAGGACTTCTGAGCTCCAGAAGTATAAGAGAATAAATTTGTGTTGTTTTAAGCCACTACATTTGTGGTAATTTGTTACAGCAGCAATAAGAAACTAATGCATAGGGTTATCATCAGGATTAAATGAGCTCATACATGTACTCATAAAGTGCTCAACCCAGCACCATAAAAAGAGCTTTTTAAATTTTAGCTATTACAAGCCAAGACCAGAACCCAGTGGACACTCATAGAAGTACTTCAGAGGTTAAGAAAATGAGGTTCGGAAATTCGATAGGGGCTGGCCTGTTAGCTCAGGAGGTTAGAGCACAGCATTATAACACCAAGGTCAAGGGTGTAGATCCCAATACCAGCCAGCTGCCAAAAAAAAAAAAAAAAACCCAGAAATTTGGTAATATTTACCTAAATTTAAAATTCACATATAATTTAACAAGAGAATTCATTTACAGATAACTATACAGGATATTCAACACATCCTTGTTTGTAATAACTCAAAATCCATTAAGGGGCTAAAATTTTAGAAAAGCCATTCAACGAAATACTACACAGCCTTTGAGTAATGAGGTACACTTCAGTGTGCTGATAAGGGAAATTCTACCAGATGTATCCTTTTGTGAAAAAAAAGGCAAGTACAGAACAGCAAGTTTATTAGGTTTTATTTTTGTTTAAAAATATAAAGGATATATATTTATTCATAAGTATACATGAAAAAATTCTAGAAGGGCATGCAATTAACTGTTAGTAGCAACTGATAAGGCAAGATGTATGGAGTAAGAGGAAACTCTTTTCACTGTACACCCTTTTAAATTACTTTACTTTTTTACTAGCTATATGTGTGATATCCATTTAAAAAAACTGAAGTTGAAAGGAACCGCCAATCAACAAGCGTGTATGCACTGACGACCTGCTTACCACTGTACATGGTATAGGGCATAAAACATGGTCCTGCTCTCCAAGAATTTACAATCTAGCTTAATTTATAACCTAGATACGTATCAGACAATAACCTCTCTAATTGTTTCGGATATCCACCTATCAGAAAACTGAACCAGATGCTTTCTGTAAGTATTTTTCCACTTATGACTCTATGAGAACAAATCTCCATCTAAAATGAATGAATTCTATATCTAATCCATTAGTCCCAACAAATCTTGTTTGTGATTAATAAACTGTTATTTCCTGGGAAGTGGTTAATGTTTCTGAAAGGAGGAAAAACAGGAAGAATCTTTCCGTTTTTTTTTTTCCTTTTTGTGACCGGCCATCCCTATATAGGATCTGAACCCGTGGCAGGAGCGCTGCTGCACTCCCAGCGCCCCATGCTCCCAAGTGCACCACGGACACCGCACGCTCCCGAGTGCGCCACGGGCTTGGCCCAGGAAGAATCTTTTCAAACAACCCAATTATATACATACTACACATTACAAGAAAAAAAAGATGAAGAACAAATATCATCTCTGGGCAACTGGATTTGTCTTCTTCGTGACACTTTGTATTCTCCTAATTCTCAACTAAGGAACATGTTACAAAAAGAAAAAAAAAATGCACATCCTCCTCCCCCCAAAAAGTTCTTTTTAAATGTGCTAACACAATATCTATGAGGGTTACTGGTTCATTCCAAATCTTCCTCTCACTTTACAAAAGTGACAGCAACTCAAACTCTAACTTTCTGAAGCCTGACATTAGAGAACTGACAGCAAAACCAACAAGAATCATCCAAATCCAAGGGTTCCATTTATAAGATATTTAGTCCACAATGTCGCCCAATTAGCACATAATCCATAATGAAGACATTATTGCTGACAAGGGAGGCAGAATGGGATCTGGGTCACCCTTCCATAACTCTATTAGTTCCTCTCAAACCAATAAAGGATAGTCTGTGTTAGCAAAGTATTCAGCTGACAATGGAAGTACATAGGAATCATGATGTAATTCATTTCCAAAGCTTATACAAGGAGGGAAAAAAGCAGAGATGAAAAACATTTAGTGGGTAACTGGGGAGTTTCTTAAACGGTAACCTACATAGGTACTCCTCCAATCTGGAGACTGGAGTCATCACCACCAAAAGTACTGAGTCAATGGACCACAAATACTCCAATGAGACTGAGGACAACAACAACAACAAACTGATACTGGACACCATGTGCCAGACCCTGTAGTAAGCCCTTTCCATTCCTAATCTCTTTGAACCCTCTCAACAGTCCTATAAAGTAGAAGTGAAACTGAGGAGCTTAACCTGCCCACAGTTATATAGCTAGTGAGTTGTGAACTAGGATATGAATAAAATCAGCCTTCACTTAAAAGGCCACTCGAAAACATAAACATTATACTACCCCTTCCCCAATCGCTCCTGTCACACACTTCTATCTCCCTAGCTTGCTCCCATCACACACTACCTTCTCCCCAACTCGGAAGCAAAACAAATATCCTCTCATCATTCTGTACTCCCAGATGCCCTCATGGGCTTTTACTGATCAGAAGCCTGTACATGAAAATAAGAGTGATCTGGGAGAATACTGTCCTTTTTAAAAGCCACTTTTTAAAGACCTGCCTCTTTAAATTGAGATAGCAGTTTTATGCCGTATTGCCTACATGCCCATTGGACCCATTGTTATTTCTTTGCCTGGATACGCAGTCTCTGATCACTAACATTTACTCACAACTTGCCAAAGTTCTCTCATTCAGAAAACTGTTGTAAATCAGTTCTTCTTAATAATAATACTAATAACAATACTAACAACAACAGTTACCATATACTGAGCATCTATTATGTGACAGGCTTTACAAAGTCTCATTTCATCTTCACAATAACCCAATGAAGTAGGCACTGTCCCCATTTTCTAGATGAGAAAACTAAGACCCAGAGAAGTAGAGTAATTCAGCCTGACCTTACGAAGCTGGTAAGTAACTAAATCTGACTCCATGCAACTTAAGCCTTCAGAGGTCTTGCCTTTTAATGATTAAAATGTGAGCTCCTCCTGGACTTTCCTTTTGAGAGCTACCTTCCCACAGCAGATCTGCTCCACTACCATGTGAATCCCACCATATCCAAATGCTTACCTGAATTTCTTCATTTTCATCTACTAGAAGGAAACTCACAACCTTCTCAGTCATCTTCTTCCTCTTGGTCTCCTCATCCATCTCTTCTGCCTCCAGCAACTCCTGGACCTTACTGACATGGTAGACAGTAACAGGGTGTCTCCTTTTGTTACCCCCAGAATGAGTCCTCTTCTGGCATTCCAGGCACAAGTTGATTTTGCAGGTCTGGCACCTCACGGCTGCCCTCTGCCTAACACCCAGCAAATGCCCATTGGGGCCCTTGCAAGGATCACAGTAAGGGACATGGCCAGGTTTGAGTCTTATCCGTTCATGGTTTCGCAGGCGCTCCTGCCGATGGAGCTCCTCCTCGCAGCGAAGGCACTGCAGGCTGCAGCACTCATCACACTCAAAGACAGCTTCATCAGTCCCACTGCAGGCATAACTTTCCTGGCACATCAGCCCTGGATTCAGGCCCTTCTCTGCTGGAAAAGTCTGGGCACTCATAATCAGATTGGCAAGGAAACACACCCACCATATAACAGTCACTGAGCTTTCCCTAGCAGTGAAGACAAAGGCTTTGAGTCTGAAGCCTGCACAGAACTTCCACAGGGTTCTGAACACCTTCAAAAAGAAAATCTTCAGTGTCGTATTGTAATTCTTTACACAATTACAAATATTCAAATTTTTAATTTTCTGCCTCCAAGGCTCTTGTGTCAGCAGCAACATCGATTTGGTCTGCTAGTTTCATCCTCTATAAAGTGCAGGCAAATATGTGGTCAAAATTATCTTGAAAAGGTCTTTTATGGTTATTTGAGAGAGGTCTGATGGGTTCACAGAGGTGGTTTCATCTGTTGGGCCTCAGCCACAAAGTTTTGGTAACGAAAGAAAGTGATCAGGAACTTTTCAATATATTTCAACCTCAAGTCAATATTTCAGGGGATACCTAGAATAGAGGAAGGAAAAAGATTTCACTCATCTAAAAAACAGAAGTGCACCTTTAAAAAAAAGATTGTTATTAAATACCAGGCTGAAACTATTGAAAGAAATCTCATTCTTTCTTGTGAAACTTATACTGGTTTGTTCTGATGCTAGAAATTTCTTCTCATATCATGGCTAAGGCTGCTCCTTTTGAAAACAAACACCACCTCCAGGCCCAAAGCATTTAAGACACTTTGCTCCTATATTTCCCAGACTGAACTGCTCTGTTCATTCAGTTATTAAATTCAGAATCGAAATCACTAAGCAAACAGTCCTTGGAAGGATAACCCCCTGAACCCCCCCAGATGGGAGAGGTAAAGTAACAGGCCTGTAAAATGCTAAAAAAAAAAACAATTAATAGTAATAAACTTCAGATTCATCAAAGACATGGGCAGATCCAGTTATCCTTGTAACTGGATTGTTTCAACTCTAGACAGATGCCTATTAAGGACTCTAAACCTGGAAACAATAGTCACAGTTTCTTGTTTAGAAACACTAAAAAACAATTATTGTACTTCCTTTTGTCCCTTCTTTCTCTAACTGCAAAAATAAGGGAGCAACAGGAGACAATTCCCCATTGCAAAGCCAGGCCTGCAGTGAGTCAAACAAATAATTTTTCTCTTTGTCACTCAAAAACTAACTTAAAAATAACTTCAAAAAAAAAAAAAAAAAAAAAGGAAAAAAGATAACTAGGGCAGGAAAAGCAGAAAAGGGGCTTTTGTCACTTCAACAATTATATTCCTAACTCGCCATTGCCTTGATCCAACGCCCCAACAAAGTGTACAGCCCTCCTTTCAGATATTTACTCCTCCCCTAAGGTAATCAATCTATCAATCTCATTTTTAGATAAACAAGGAAGGCGAAGGGAGTGACTAGGGGACCTTATTTACACCCTGATCTCAGACATGACCAGCTAGCTTCCAAAACGGAAACAAAACCCAAAACTTGTCACCATTGAGAAAAATATAAAATCAACCTTGAAAAGAACACCTCACCCCCCCCCCCCCCCTACCAGGCCAAGCAAACCATCTGTGCACTCGAGCCCCCCCACCTCAATGCCTCTCTCCAGCCGGGGGTTCCTAACCGTTCTTTCCTCCTGGACACCACCACCACAACCCGAAGGGTAGGAGCGGAGCCTAAGAACAAAGAAGGTCCCCCCAAAACCTCCCCACTCCGGCAAAGCCCGGAGCCGAATCCATTGTTTATACCACCCCACCCCCACCACAGCCGCACCCGCCCCCTCTTCCTCCCGGGGCAGCAGAAGCCCCTCGTACGGGGATCCCACCACTGAGCAGCTCGGCAGCGACGAGGCGGCGTCGGGGTGCCGCGGGGCGCCGGTGGGGCGGGGGCTGTTCCTCAGGGCACCGGTGGGTCCATCCTCATCTCCACCTCCGCCCCCCTCCTCCTTCGTTGCCTCCCGGGCTTCCTCCTCTCCTGTTGTCAGTTGGGATCAGCTGATCGGAGTGAACTTCTCCCAGCTCGGACTAACAGGAAGGCGTGAGCGGTGCAGTCCAGGGAGGGAGGAGCGGGAGAGGGTGGAGCCCGGCGCCCGCGAGGGCGGGGAAGGCACGCACAGCCTCCTGGGAGATGTAGTTCCCCGTCGTGCGTCCTCGGCCATGTCCCGGAAGTGAAGACTCTGAATAACTACAACTCCCAGAACCAAGAGGCTCCTCTTGCCGGGAGGCGGTGGACTCGGCCATCGAGCCTTTCGGGACTTGGAGTATTTGCATTTACTGTGGTTTCTGCAGGTTACAGCGCGTTGTTTTGGTTAGTGGCAGGGGAAAGAATGGTGCTAAATTAGAGAAGTGATGTAATAATGTTTAGTATAAGTGGGAAATGGAGAGGCAAATAATTTGGTTTCAAGTAACCCTTATTGCACACCAGTTCTTCAGAAATGTGTTAAAACAGGCAGTCTCCACTTCCCCGGCACAAACTCGGAAAAGACCAGTAAGAATTGATAAGCAAATGTAAGTATTCTTGTGGGAGTTTTGTTTTCCTCTTCAGGGTATTCTCCAAGCCAATCATTTTTTTTTTTTCCTACCTATTATTTTTCTGACCGTTCCTCATATAGTTTCAGAACTTCTGAATTTCAAATTATCTTTAAGTTAGACGTGGTACATTTTCAGATAAGCTTTCAGGCTACAGTGCAGGCTAATGGTTAACATTTATTTGTCTTTTTTTTATATGGCCTTATATTTGTTTAATGCTTTCACTTTTTTTTCCCCTTCGTTTCTTGGAACAACGCTGAAAGAAAGCCTGATGAAATGAAAAGAGCATTGGTCTGCGATGCCAAAGACTGGGTACTTCTTCTAGAAAAGCTCCTGACCGTATAGGTGGCTGAGGTAAATCACTCAACATCTCCATACATGAAGGGATTGTACTGTGTAATTTCTGAGGTCCCTGCCAATTCTAACCTTCTGTGGTTCTATCTTGATAGTTGTTAACCCAGGAGAGAAAACTTAGGTTAAGTGACTTGCCAAGGTTGGACAGCAAATTATTGCCAAAGCTGGGACGAGACCCTATCAGCTTACTTGTAAGTCCATATTTTTTTACCTAATGATTCAAAGGACGTAAATAGACCAATAGGAAAACCAAATCGACATAATAATGAATGAGCTATGTATGAGGATTATATTGCTGAAAATTATGTTTTCAAGACAGGGCAGAGAGTTAATCGTTGGACTAACTGCACAACGTGGCTGAGAATTTTTTTTCCTATGCCAGATCACAAACCAGGATAATAAGAACAGGAAATGTATGTATCTGGGCTGCATATCCCTAGAAAGGCTGGCCTATGGGTCTAGTGCCACCCACAGAAACCTCCACAAACTCTCCCTTCCAAGGCAATTTCTTTTCCAGTCCATTGGGTGGGGATGTGTTTATTTCCTATTCACCCTACTGAAACTGTAGCCTTTGAGTGCCCAGATTTAGACTTCCACTTCTACCAGGTCTTGGGCTTTGTCTTCTGTCCCACTTGCCCCATGAAGCCTTGAAACACCAAGCTTAAGTTCACCAAGGAAGGCACATGCCCTCATGGTAAAAGTGCATCATTTCTCTGCTTACTCTCTGAATCCTGCCTTCGCCTAGATTTTGGTCTGATAATTCCTTATCTTCTTTTTGACTCTTCCATTTTTTTTTTCTTTTAATTTTGGCAGCTAACCAGTACAGGGACTGAACCCTGGACCTTGGTGTTACGAGCACCACACTGTAACAATGACTCCAATATTTTACCAACATTTTTTGTTGTTTTCAGCAGGTGGTTGGTTTGCCATATTGTGAGCCATATTACAAAAAAGGAATAGTCGAGCTAATGGTTAGCTCAGGAAGGGAGCTGATGTGATCAGGACACTTGGTGGGTTTCTGGGTGTTGGCAGTGTTCTGCTCTTGACCTGGGTGGTAGTTGCACCAATCTTCACTTGATAATTATGTGTCAAACAGTTGATATCTAACTTGCACTCTTCCATTTGTATAATATATCTCACAATAAAAAATTAAATTAAAACATTTAATTAGGAAAAATAAATGAATAAAGTAAAAGGTGCCATGAAATTAGGTTCTACAAGATAAGCAGGCCAAGCCCTTGGACTTAATAAAAAATATTTCCTTAAGCCATTCAACACAGCATGTTAAAGGTCTTGACAATATTTAACCACAATAGGAGTTACAAAACAAGTAGAAGACAGGTTTCCAGGCTTGTCCCCTTCAACTTCCCATCCCACCTCTCCCTCAAAGGAAGTCCTCAGTATAAACACACAGACAACTGGTATGTAGCTATTAAAATATACTCTCCTAAGTTCATATGGATGTAAAGTCTGTTTCCCACATGGTGCTAAGAGATGGCACTCATTTCCTTGGTGAATTTGCCAGAGCTCAGAGACCAACCTTCAGCCTTGCAGGCACAGAAATTTAGTTTTATCACTCACCTAGAGCAGATTCATCTCTTAGTGGTAAACACACATTAACCAAGCTTGCTAGACTGATGATGCCAAGCCAATAGTTTATAATAAAATATTACTGTTACCCAGATTGGAGTGTTCAAAATTAACACAGCACATTTGAGGGCCGGCCCGTGGCTCACTCGGTAGAGTGCGGTGCTGATAACACCAAGGCCACGGGTTCGGATCCTATATAGGGATGGCCGGTTTGCTCATTGGCTGAGCGTGGTGCTGACAACACCAGGCCAAGGGTTGAGATCCCCTTACCGGTCATCTTTTAAAAAAAAAAAAACGGCATATTTGTTCTCATGATAAAGGTGCTATAGGAGAACCATAGTGAAAAGGTGCTTGGTGAGTATAGAATCAAAACAAGAGGAAAGGAGTCACATCAATTGAATATTCATGGTAAAAGGCTAACATGTATAGACCTCCTGCTAGAGATGGTCTTTGTCCATGGTAGCAGAACAACTTGTGTAGTATGCATAAAGCAAATGTACTTCACAGGGCCTGATTTTCCAAAGCCTTGCAGTTTCAAATATTGACCTTGCAAAGGACAGGAAATTTTCCCCAGGCTGTAGTCTCTGTTGTGAGATAAAGAATTGTAACATAGCAAGGTTGCTGGCTCAAAGACAGACAGGTTACTGATTGATATATAAAGATACTGGGAAATTGCTGTAAGAAGAGAATGTTTGCTAAGATGAAGCTTTTGTTGGCGGATCGACTTAACTTCCTGAAAATTGCATTATGAAATGTTTGTTGTTAAACTTGTTAAACTGTACTTAGAAAATACCCCACCTATGTTCTCTTCCTGTAACTTCCTGATCTGGAGAATAAATGTGGGAAGAGAACCCCAATTCGTGGTTAATTTCCCAAATGGAAGGAATGCCTCTATCTTGAGGGTTCTGGGAGATTAACCCCTTTTCGGGGTTTCTCACTGCTCAGAAGAGATGGGCTTTGAGTAATCTTTGGCAGCTCCATGACCCAGGGGAAAAGGGGTGACAAATCTGTGGGAGGCAAAGCAACAACAACTGATTCCTCTAGTTACTTTTCTCCTTGACATTACTTTGCTATCCAGTAAGACAGAGCTCAGAAATTCATTCTGGATAATTTAAGAAGAAACTTAACTTTTGGGAAAATATTAGGTATCTTAGAATTGTTGGGAAGGTTGGAGAACCTGGGTCAAAAAAATGGTCAGGAACAAGGAAGGTAGTGGGAATCACAATCACGTTCTCACCTTAGGACGTCAGAGTCGGACACCATAGTTGGCACTGATTCCACTGAGCACCTTTTCCAGTACACTCTCTGTGCCACCTCCATCACTGCACTCTCAACAATGGCAACTGTGGTAGGCAGAATAAAGACCTCCAAAAGATGTTCACCTCCTGATCCCCGAAATCCATAGATACATTACATTATATGGCAAAAGGGACTTTGCACATGTGACTAAGGTTAAGGACCTACATGGGAAGATTATTCTGGGTTATCAGGGCAGGCCCAATATAATCACAAAGCAGTGAACTTTTATGGGCTGTTGTCAAAGACAGATGTGATGACTAAAAAAGAGTCAGAGAGTTGTTGGTTTTGAAGATGGAGAACAGGAGCCATGAGCCAAGAAATGCTGGTAGCCTCTAGAAGCTGGAAAAGGCAAGGAAATGGATTCTCCCATAGAGCCTCAAAAAAAATAAAATCAAAATGTAACCCTTGATTTCAGCCCAGTGAGACACCTGTGTTTGATTTCTGACCTATAAAACTATAAGGTAATAATTCCATGTTGTCTTAAGCCACTAGGTTTGTAGTAATTACAGCATCATTAGAAAACTAATGCAGCAATGCTGCTGTGAATAATTTCTAAATTGTCTCTGCGTCTTTATGTATCTCTTTCTCAAGATCCGAAATCCTGGACAAGAGAATCCAATAATTTCACATGGATGGCATACATATGGCCTAGATGTAAGGGAAGTAGAGAAAGAAAGGATCTTTTCTCTTGAATTCTGGAGTGGAAGGCATGTCACAGTGGTGGATCACCCCCAAATATGAAGGGGGATTAGATGTTGGACCACAAAATAAGAACAAATGTCTATTAAAGGCAACCCTATATTTTGCCAAGAGGACTTTGTTTTTTCTATACTTAAATGGCTCACCTACTCTAATCCTGGTCAATACATTTTTCTTTAAATACAAAAATATGTCATCAAATTACATTTAAGTCCTGCTGACCTATGAGCTGTATATTTCTTCCATTAGTTGACAGAAATCGCAAATCAAACTGCTTTAATCCATAAAAGAAATGTATTGGCTCACATAACTAAACAATATGGGAAATTACAGTTTTAGCCATAGCTCAATTTAGGACTCAAATAATATATGTTCAGGAACTTGTTTCCTTCTCCACTCCCCAGCTTTGAGAAATGCACCCAATTTAATTTTTTTCAATTTATTTATTTATTTTTTATTTTAATTTTTTTTAAGATGACTGGTAAGGGGATCTTAACCCTTGGCTTGGTGTTGTCAGCACCACGCTCAGCCAGTGAGCGAACCGGCCATCCCTATGTAGGATCTGAACCTGTGGCCTTGGTGTTATCAGCACTGCACTCTCCCAAGTGAACCACGGGCTGGCCCATTTTCAATTTATTTTTAACAAAGGTGTAAAAACAGTTCCATAGAGGAGGGATACCGTTTACCGTATCCTAGAGGAAGAGTGGTGCTGAGACATTGGACAAAATATAGGCAAAAAACTAAACCTTAACCAGAACTTCACACCTTACACAAAAGTAAATTCAAAATGCATCATAGATTTAAACAGAGAATGTAAAACTACAAAACTTTCAGAAGAAAACATACAGGAAAACCTTCAAGACCTAGACTAGGCAGAGTTCTTAAACATGACACCAAGAGTGCAATTCATAAGAGAGAAAATGGATACAACTAGACCTCATAAAATTAATTTTTTGTCCTCTATGAAAAGGTACTAGAAAAGCCCATGTGGACTTGAGGGAATAAACCAAAAATATAGACCAAGGTTGTATACAACATAGGAATTCCAGCAGTATTCAAACATTGCCCCTTTGTTTTTACCACTAAGGGTAAAACAATTATGTCATTTGCACCTGCAGACTGATGAACTCTTTTAAAACTCTATAGTAGGTACAGAAGTTTAAATAGATACCTTCTAAAGTATCTTCTCAGTGAATAATTATTTTCTCTTTCACTGAAAACTGCCACACCAACCCTTGACGTGGTCTCTGACCAATCATATTTATGTAACATCAGCCTGATCCCTACCAGCACCCAGGGAATTTGGAATTGACATCCAAAAACAATGAGTAGAGTGGACATTTGGTACTGAAAGTGTGCCCAATGTCTAATCTTCCTATGTTTGGAGAAATGAGCATTGTATGAATGTTGATGGGACATTTGTTCAATCAATGGGCTGACCAAGGACCATGAGTCCAGTGTAATGACAAAAAAAAAAAAAAACCTGTTTGGAATTCAGTATGGGACTTCCATTTCTAAGAGTATACCTGACTTGATATTCTAAATACCCCTATGTTGAAGAACATTTAGATGTTGGATAAACTACAACAAATATATATTTTGTTGTTGTTGTTGTTGTTTGTTTGTTTTGGCAGCTGGCTGGTACAGAGGTCAAGCCCTGGACTTTGGTGTTATCAGCACCAAG